TCCTGAGTACCTGGGACTACAGGCATGCGCCACCATGCCCAGTTAATTTTTTGGTTTTTTTTGTGGAGATGGGATCTTACTTTGTTGTCCAGGCTGGTTTCGAACTCCTGGGCTCAAGCAATCCTCCTGCCTTGGCCTCCTAAAGTGCTGGGATTGCAGGTGTGAACCACTGCACTCAACTTTTTTTTTTTCTTCTTCTTCTTCTTCTTCTTTTTTATTAGACAGGATCTTACTCTGTCACCCAGCCTGGAGTGCAGTGGCACAATCATGGCTCACTGCAGACTTGAACTCCTTGAACTCTTTGCAACCTTCACCTCCTGAGTACCTGGGACTACAGGCATGCGGCACTGTGCCCAGCTAATTTTCTGTGTTTTTTGTTTTTTTTTTTTTGTAGAGATAGGATTTTACTTTGTTGTCCAGGCTGGTCTCGAATTCCTGGGCTCAAGCAATCCTCCTGCCTCGGCCTCCTAAAGTGCTGGGATTGCAGGCGTGAGCCACCACGCCCACCTCTGTGCTCCTCTTTTTTGGGCTCAGTCCCAGGCGGGCTTTCCCCTCATGGTAGCCAGGATGGCCCTCGGGGTCTCTAGGCTCCCACGGTCCCAGCTCCATGACTCCAGTGGAAAGTGGGGGCTTTTCTAATTGCTCCATCCGAAGCCCCAGGGCTCACTGTGATTCACTCATCCTTGAGCCAACCACTGTGAACCAGAGGAGAGAATGCTCTTATGAGTCAGCTCTGATCTGGGAGGTGGGATCCATCCTACTCCAACCATGATTTGTCCATGAAAGGTGCTGATCCGCCGGGCTTGGTGGCTCACGCCTGTAATCCCAGCACTTTGGGAGGCTGAGGTGGGTGGATCACCTGAGGTCGGGAGTTCGAGACCAGCCTGACCAACATGGAGAAGCCCCGTCTCTACTAAAAATACAAAATTAGCCGAGCGTGGTGGCACATGCCTGTAATCCCAGGTACTTGGGAGGCTGAGGCAGGAGAATTGCTTGAACCCAGGAGGTGGAGGTTGCTGTGAGCCAAGATCATGCCATTGCACTCCAGCCTGGGCAACAAGCGAAACTCCATGCCCCCCGCCCCCCAAAAAAGGTACTAATCCAAAGGGCAAAACTGGGTCTGTCCTCCCTGAGGAGGAGGAACAGATCCTAAGCTGACACGTGAGGTTACCAAGGGTGACACAGCCTGCATTCCAGGCCCTCTGTTTAGAACGCTTTTCCCAGCAGCCTTTGGGTTGGGGCTGGCGTCTGACCCTGTCACCCTGCAGAATCTCAACACATGGAACTCATCCCTGCTGGACCTGGAGACACTGAGCCTACAGAGCAGAGCTGCCAGGCTGCTCAAACGCAGGTGCCTGTACCCCCGCCCCCATCACCCTTCCCACTGCAGCTCCACATGGCCCAGACCTCCATTGCCTCACTCCTGCCTTCTCCCTGCAGCAAAGCCTCCATCTCCTCCTCCTCCCTCAGCCCCAGCGATGCCAGCACTTCCTCATTCCCCACCAGTTCCGATGGCCTCTCTCCCCTCTCGGAGACCTTCATCCCTGACTCCAGCAAGGGCCCTGACCCCAGGGCACCCGGTAAGGGCTGAGAGGCAAGGACTGAGGGAAGCTTGGGTGCAAATCCGAGCTCTGCCACTGACCAGCTATGGGACTTTGGGCCTCTCTGGGCCTTGTTTCTCCAGCTGTAAAACAGGGATAAAAAGGCCAGGTGCAGTGGCTCAGGTGTGGAGGCTGAGGCGGGAGGACTGCCTGAGCTCAGGAGTTTGAGACCAGCCTGACCAATGTGGCGAAACCCAGTCTCTACTAAAAATACAAAAATTAGCCGTGCGTGGTACATAGTGGTGCTTGGTGGTGCATGCCTGTAGTCTCAGCTACTCAGGAGGCTGAGGCAGGAGAGAATCACTTGAACCTAGGAGGCTGAGATTGCAGTGAGCTGAGATTGTGCCATTGCATTCCAGCCTGGGTGACAGAGAGAGACTCTGTCTCAAAAGTAAAATAAATAAATAAATGGTGCCATCACAGTGTAATTGCTGTGCTCAAGCAATCCTACAACCTCAGCCTCCCGAATAGCTGGGACTACAGGCATGCACCACTATGCCCAGCTAATTGTTTTTATTTTTTCATTTGTTGAGATGGGGGTCTCACTGTGTTGCTCAGGCTGATCTCGAACTCCTGGGCTCAACCATCCCCCCACCCCCTCGGCTTCCCTAAGCACTAGGATTACAAGAATGAGCCCAGCTGGTTTTGAATAGGGAAGCCAGGGAAGGTGACCACGATCTGATGGATGTGAGAGAATGCACCGTGCGATAATCGAGGGAAGAGCATTCCAGGCAGACGGAGTCACAGGTGTAAAAGACAAAGCCTTCGCCTTTTACCAGGAGAGAGGTGCAGCTAAGGGAGGGTTCCTAAGCACGAAGGGCCTGGTCTGACTCGGGTATTCACAGACTCCCTCTGGCTGAGAGTAGGGAACAGATTTGGAGGAGAGTAGAGAGGCCAGGGAGGTTGCTTGAGAGTCCAGGTTGGGTGAGTGGGGCTGGAGCAGGGCGAGGGCTATAGAGGGTGGGGGAGTGGGTGGATTCTGGGGAGTATGTCTTCTGGTCACTGCTGTAACTCCAATGTCCAGAACAGCTCAATAAATATTTGTTGAATGAGACCAGGCGCTGTGACTCACACCTGTAATCCCAGCACTTTGGGAGGCCCATGTGGGACGATGATGGCTTGAGCCCAGGAGTTTGAGACCAGCTTGGGCAACAAAGCAAGACCCCGTCTCTACAAAACAATAAAAATTACCCCGGTGTGGTGGCGCATGCCTTTAGTCCCAGCTACTCAGGAGGTTAAGGCAGGAGGATTGCCTGAGCCCAGGAGGTCGAGACTGCAGTGATCTCACCACTGCCCTCCAGCCTGGGTGACAGAACAAGACTCTCTCTATATATATATAACAAAGACTTGAATGATGACAGGTGGAGAAGCCCAGGAGTGCTCTGCTCCCCTGACTTTGACCCCTTCCCTTCTTCCCACCCTAGAGAGGAGCTGGGACGGTATCGGGAGAGCCTATCTGAGTAACCCCCTGCACAGTTGGAGGGCGTGTGTGCAGGCTGTCATGGGGTTGCTGATCTCCCTGGCCCCTGCCTCACGCTGTCCTCTCTACCTCCCATCCCCTACAGCATCCCCGGCACCAGCCCAGGCCCAGACCCCCACCCCTGCTCCAGCCCCAGCCTCCTCCCAAGCACCCCTTCGGCCAGAGGATGACATTCTGTACCAGTGGCGGCAGCGGCGGAAGCTTGAACAGGCTCAGGGAAGCAAGGGTGACAGAGCTTGGGTGCCACCTCTGACCCCTGCCCTTCGCACTCTGGTGAGTCGAGGGAGGGAGAAGCCTGGTGGGAGCTGGAGGAGGGGCTGGATCTGAGGGGGACTGAGGACCCTCCACCCTCTCTAGAGAGGGTCTCAGATCTCTCTTATCTGTCTACAGACCTCTCCTGCTCCAGTGGAGACCCTCGGTTCTCTGGGGACACAGCCTAACCATGTCCCACTGTGGAGCAGTGTGACCGGACCTGGTCCACCAGAGGCCTTCTATATGGAGAGACCTCCTTTTCCCTCAATGTCCTCTCCACACATCTTTTGGGCCCCCAGCCCCCACGGGTTCTTCTGCACCCCACAGTCTGGGCCTTGGATATCCCTTGGGGCTGTTCCTCCCACGCAGTCGGCCTCCACCCTAGCACATCTGGGCTCCACCCTCGTGCCCCCAGCTCCCCTGGCCTCCACCCTTGCATCCCCGGCCTCCACCCCGGCTCCCCTGGCCTCCACCCCGGCTCCCCCAGCCTCCACCCCGGCTCCCCTGGCCTCTACCCCTGCACCTCCAGCCTCCACCCTCGCATCCCCAGCTGTTCCCCAGGGCCTGCCCATCCCTGAGCCAAGCAGCTGTGCCCAGCCTAAGAGCCTGAGGTCCACGTCTCGGAGGAGCAGAGCCCCTCGCCGAGAGGCTGCCGAGGGAGTCACTGCAGCTGGCCAAGGACCTGGCCCTCAGCTCAGGGGTGTCCTGGGCCAGGTAGTGGCAGCTCGGCTCTTCCCTGACAGCCTGGAGGACGCTCCTTCTCACTTCGAGGGCCCGCCTCCACCTGAGGCTGGATCTCTGAAAGTCAAGGCCACACAACCCCAAACCAAGGCCACTCCCCCTCCATCTGAATCCCGGTGTCGGGCCAAGGCCGAGTCTCGGAAAGCCAAGGCCTTGCCGCCAGCAGCGGGGTCAGTGATCTGGAAGAGCGAAGCCACTCCTTCCTCTGGATCCTGCCGGCAGCCCGAGGTCCCACCCTCTCCAGCTGAACAGGCATCCACAGTCAAGGCCTCGCCGCCTGCCTTCCAGGTGGGGTCTCCGGAGGCCCTGGCCCCGCCCCCTCCCTCTGCTGACCACGCCCCCTCGGAGGCCCTGCTCTCCCAGGCCGCCCGGCTGCTGCAGGCTGCAGAAGGTGATGTCCTCTCCCTCCCGGATGTCGGTGGTGGGCCAGCCCCCTAAGAGACCAGCTCCTTGGAGCTCATTCTTTCCTCCCTCCACCAGACTCTGACGGCAGCGAATTCCAGGACGATCCCGTGCTGCAGGTGCTAAGAGCCCAGAGGGCAGAGCTGAGACAGCAGAAAAGGTGACTGATCCTCCATCCCCAGAGTCTATGACACTGGGCCCCCGAGTCCTCTGAGACCCGGTTAGGCACCCAGCCCTCCTCATCCCCTGTTCCAGTACTCCGTCCACAGCCCCAGATTCTAAGCCTGAGCACATATCCCAGCCTCTGCTCTCCCGGCCTTTCTCCAGGGAAGCGGATGCCCGATTATCGTTCCTGTTGGACCAGGCCAAAGACCCGGGATCTTGCTCCCCTCCAGCCAGGTCGCCCCCCAGGTCCCCAAGGAGGCTGCTACGAAGGGAAGGAGCTTCCCTGGAGGCCAGACGACTTTGAATTATACATAGAGATTCTATTTTATGCAGCGAGGCTTTTTTTTTTTTTTTTTTTTACACGGTGACTGGTTATCTGTGAGAAAGGGGTTGTTTGGAAAGGCCAAGGGGTCGTGCCAATTTAAGGAAATGCCCCCCACTCTCCTCTGCCCCGTGGCTCTGCCCTGCACCCCCCTTTCCTGACCATGGAAACAAGACCTCCTTTCTGGTTATATCTTCCTTGGGGCAGAGAGGGTTTCAGACAAGACTTCTGGCAAGACTGGGACCCACCTTATCTGACTTCACTCAGGAACCCTGGCTCAAATGGGACCAAAGGACTGTCCTCTGGGGAAGAAGCTACTAGGGTCTTTGGAGTGTTGGATGATGGTCAGTCTGTAGCCCACACCTGCTTGAGCAGCAGCAGCGTCTGATGCAGCTGACCCCTCCCTCCTTGAAGCACTTTCCCTCCCGGCTTCCAGCACTTCTCTCTGCACCTCTCTGGTCAGGCCTCATCACTAGCCCAGCATGTCAACTTTGGCATGACCCAGGGCCATAGCGTTGACATCTCTATCTACACCCACCCACAGGTGCTCTTGTCTAGCTTAATGACACTAAACCCCATTTGTATTCTGATAATCCTCAAATATCTATCTCTAATCTAGACCTGGCCCCGAAACCTTGGGCTCCTACCTCATCACCATTTCTACCCAAGCGTTTAAAAGACATCTCAGATTCCATAGGTCCTAAATGTTTCCAATCTTTCCCCCTAAGCATGCTGCTCCCCAGCTTTCTTCAGCTCTGTCCTTTGCTGCTCAGACCAAAAACCTTAGAGTTGTCTTTGACTTCTGTCTTTCCCTTCCACCCACAGTTAACCAGCAAATCCTGCCATCTCCACCATTGTTTTATTTTATTTTATTTTATTTTTTGAGATGGAGTTTCACTCTTGTTGCCCAGGCTGTAGTGCAATGGCGTGACCTCGGCTCACTGCAACCTCCACCTCCCGGGTTCAAGCGATTCTCCTGCCTCAGCCTTCTGAGTAGCTCGGATTACAGGCGCCTGCCACCACACCCGGCTAATTTTTTTGTTTTATTTTGTTTTGTTTTGTTTGAGACAGAGTCTTGCTCTGTCGCCCAGGCTGGAGTGCAGTGGCCGGATCTCAGCTCAATACAAGCTCCGCCTCCCGGGTTTACGCCATTCTTCTGCCTCAGCCTCCCCAGTAGCTGGGACTACAGGCGCCTGCCACCTCGCCCGGCTAGTTTTATTTTTTTTTAAGTAGAGATGGGGTTTCACCGTGTTAGCCAGGATGGTCTCGATCTCACGACCTCGTGATCTGCCCGTCTCGGCCTCCCAAAGTGCTGGGATTACAGGCTTGAGCCACTGCGCCCGGCCAATGCAGCTTAACTTCTAAAGTTCAGTTAGAAAAGGTGATTTCTCAGCTGGGCATGGTAGCTCGCACCTGTAATCCCAGCACTTTGAGAGGCTCAGATGGACAGATTACTTGAGGTCAGGAGTTCGAGACCAGCCTGGCCAACGTGGTGAAATGTCTCAACTAAAAGTACAAAAATTAGCCAGGCATTGGTGGTGGGTGCCTGTAATCCCAGCTACTCGGGAGGCTGAGGCAGGAAAATTGCTTGAACTCAGGAGGCAGAGGTTGCAGTGAGCCGAGATCATGCCATTACACTCCAGCTTGGGTGACAGAGTGAGACTCCATC